TCGAGGACTAGCAAAATCTAAGTTTGGGGGTATTTGATAAGTTCATAATTTCATACATTCGCATGCCCTCTTTACTTAGTGACTTTACTTAGTTTCTCTTTATTTTCAGTCACTTACCTCTTTTTGTTTGTTTTGTAGGTTAAGACAGCAAGAGATCACATTTGATGCAATCCATGCTTGTTAAGGGCTGATTGGGATAAGAGGAATATGAGCTTAAAGACAAACCCAATTTGGGCCACACTCCTTGTCAGTCCAGTTTCGTAGGTCATCTTGCAGGCCTCATTTCAGCAACTTACACAGGTCGGATGAGGAGACATCCTTGATAGAAGTTGTTCCAATGGGTGTCTATTATAACATATCCAAATTTCAGTCCAATTGGATAAATCTGGAGCCCTCAGCATGCCAAAGACTGAACCAAGTTCACAGAAATGTCATGATCGGCTGCCATCACATCTACATCCCTAGAGCCATGTGCTAAGCATGGGCAGCCATACATGGGAGTCAAATCAGCTCAGGAACTCAGAAAGATGAACAAAAGTCAAGCTTTCCATAAAGAAACCATACCAAAACATGTATTTGGCAGCTGGAGAAAAACTTGTTGAGCCTATTCCTAACAACTAAAATGAGTTATTAAAAACAACTTTAATTCTCGCAAGTGCACGAACCGTTTATAGTATAGCTTATGTAAATACGAGGTCGATCCCACGGAGAATGGTAACTTGGTTCCAAGTTAAATTTCTTAGAATGCTAGAAAAACATAGAGCAAGGAAACTGACTAACTAGCTAAAGGCAAGGTCGAATTCAACAATGCCTCTTGCTAATTACTTAAGGTCTAGGACAGAATCCAAGCACCACACATGCACTCGAAATGGGGGGTTTTGTTGTTGAAATGAAAAAAAGAACGTGAAATGAAAGTGCTCGAAAATAAACACTAGCAGCAATCAACAAGTTGTGAAACAAAGATTGAGAGGTGTTAGAGCCTTGGAATCTACCACTAGTGTTCCTATCCAATTTATGAATGCATAGAAATTGACTCAAGCTTCATCAACAACAGATTTTCGCATACAAGCCTATGGTATCTAGGCGCAGGATGCATGATTCTCCTAAGGCATGTGATTATGCATGGTATCTACACAACACGTGATCTCTAATATGCAACCTAAGCATGGTATCTACTTAGAATAAAGCATACAAGAGTCATTAAGCTCCTTGAGAATATGATAATCACACAAGTCCTAGAACATGGTATCTGTCCTAGTCAACCTATGGTTATTAACCCCTTGAATTATTCTTAGGCCATTCATGTGTTGCTTGTGAAAGGAGAGTAGAATTGGTGAATCTAAACCCCTTCCCAACCTGTGCTAGTGTTGTTAAAATGTTAACTCGCAATTGTACGAGCCAATTAGTAGTATAGAAAGACAAGTACGAGGTCGTACCCACGAGGACTGAGAAGTTAAAATTAGTTATGTACTCAGATTACCAAATTCAAAAAAGTAGGAGGTAAAGTCTAAAATAGAATTTAAGTGAGGAGTCATTTGGAGAGTTTTGAGTGAAATCCAATGGCTAAAACTATGCAATACACCAACCACTCCATTTCAGAACGAACTTCCTACGAACCTGAATAGTCCGATTTCGTGGACCAATCGATATCGGATTAAGTCCAAAACTTGGGGAACAACATAATATGGTGGGAGGAGTCATTTTGTGGGTTTTGAGTGAAATCAAATCTCTAGAACTATGCAAAACACCAACCACTCCATTTCAGAACGAACTTGCTACGAACCTGAATAGTCCGATTTCATGGACCAATCGATATCGGATTGAGTCCAAAACTTGGGGGACAAAATAATATGGTGGGAGGAGTCATTTGGTTGGTTTTGAGTGAAATCCAATGGCTAAAACTATGCAATACACCAACCACTCCATTTCAGAACGAACTTCCTACGAACCTGAATAGTCCGATTTCTTGGACCAATCGATATCGGATTGAGTCCAAAACTTGGGGAACAACATAATATGGTGGGAGGAGTCATTTGGTTGGTTTTGAGTGAAATCCAATGGCTAAAACTATGCAATACACCAACCACTCCATTTCAGAACGAACTTCCTACGAACCTGAATAGTCCGATTTCTTGGACCAATCGATATCGGATTGAGTCCAAAACTTGGGGAACAACATAATATGGTGGGAGGAGTCATTTGGTTGGTTTTGAGTGAAATCCAATGGCTAAAACTATGCAATACACCAACCACTCCATTTCAGAACGAACTTCCTACGAACCTGAATTGTCCGATTTCATGGGCCAATCGATATCGGATTGAGTCCAAAACTTGGGGAACAACATAATATGGTGGGAGGAGTCATTTTGGTTGGTTTTGAGTGAAATCCAATATCCAAAACTATGCAATACACCAACCACTCCATTTCAGAACGAACTTCCTACGAACCTAAATTGTCCGATTTCATGGACCAATCGATATCGGATTGAGTCCAAAACTTGGGGAACATCATAATATGGTGGGAGGAGTCATTTGGTGGGTTTTGAGGGAAATCCAAATTCTAAAACTATGCAATACACCAACCACTCCATTTCAGAACGAACTTCCTACGAACCTGAATTGTCCGATTTCGTGGACCAATCGATATCGGATTAAGTCCAAAACTTGGGGAACAACATAATATGGTGGGAGGAGTCATTTGGTTGGTTTTGAGTGAAATCCAATGGCTAAAACTATGCAATACACCAACCACTCCATTTCAGAACGAACTTCCTACGAACCTGAATTGTCCGATTTCTTGGACCAATCGATATCGGATTGAGTCCAAAACTTGGGGAACAACATAATATGGGGGGAGGAGTCATTTGATTGGTTTTGAGTGAAATCCAATGGCTAAAACTATGCAATACACCAACCACTCCATTTCAGAACGAACTTCCTACGAACCTGAATTGTCCGATTTCTTGGACCAATCGATATCGGATTGAGTCCAAAACTTGGGGAACAACATAATATGGTGGGAGGAGTCATTTGGTTGGTTTTGAGTGAAATCCAATGGCTAAAACTATGCAATACACCAACCACTCCATTTCAGAACGAACTTCCTACGAACCTGAATTGTCCAATTTCTTGGACCAATCGATATCGGATTGAGTCCAAAACTTGGGGAACATCATAATATGGTGGGAGGGGATCATTTGGTTGGTTTTGAGTGAAATCCAATCTCTAAAACTATGCAATACACCAACCACTCCATTTTAGAACGAACTTCCCACGAACCTGAATTGTCCGATTTCATGGGCCAATCGATATCGGATTGAGTCCAAAACTTGGGGAACAACATAATATGGTGGGAGGAGTCATTTGGTGGGTTTTGAGTGAAATCCAAATTCTAAAACTATGCAATACACCAACCACTCCATTTCAGAACGAACTTCCTACGAACCTGAATTGTCCGATTTCGTGGACCAATCGATATCGGATGAGTCCAAACTTGGGGAACAACATAATATGGTGGGAGGAGTCATTTGGTTGGTTTTGAGTGAAATCCAATGGCTAAAACTATGCAATACACCAACCACTCCATTTCAGAACGAACTTCCTACGAACCTAAATTGTCCGATTTCATGGACCAATCGATATCGGATTGAGTCCAAAACTTGGGGAACAACATAATATGGTGGGAGGGGATCATTTGGTTGGTTTTGAGTGAAATCCAATCTCTAAAACTATGCAATACACCAACCACTCCATTTCAGAACGAACTTCCCACGAACCTGAATTGTCCGATTTCATGGGCCAATCGATATCGGATTGAGTCCAAAACTTGGGGAACAACATAATATGGTGGGAGGAGTCATTTGGTTGGTTTTGGAGTGAAATCCAATGGCTAAAACTATGCAATACACCAACCACTCCATTTCAGAACGAACTTCCTACGAACCTGAATTGTCCGATTTCATGGACCAATCGATATCGGATTGAGTCCAAAACTTGGGGAACAACATAATATGGTGGGAGGAGTCATTTGGTGGGTTTTGAGTGAAATCCAATCTCTAAAACAATGCAATACACCAACCACTCCATTTCAGAACGAACTTCCCACGAACCTGAATTGTCCGATTTCATGGGCCAATCGATATCGGATTGAGTCCAAAACTTGGGGAACAACATAATATGGTGGGAGGAGTCATTTGGTGGGTTTTGAGTGAAATCCAAATTCTAAAACTATGCAATACAACAACCACTCCATTTCAGAACGAACTTCCTACGAACCTGAATTGTCCGATTTCATGGACCAATCGATATCGGATTGAGTCCAAAACTTGGGGAACAACATAATATGGTGGGAGGAGTCATTTGGTTGGTTTTGAGTGAAATCCAATGGCTAAAACTATGCAATACACCAACCACTCCATTTCAGAACGAACTTCCTACGAACCTGAATTGTCCGATTTCTTGGACCAATCGATATCGGATTGAGTCCAAAACTTGGGGAACAACATAATATGGTGGGAGGAGTCATTTGGTGGGTTTTGAGTGAAATCCAATCTCTAAAACTATGCAATACACCAACCACTCCATTTCAGAACGAACTTCCTACGAACCTGAAATTGTCCGATTTCATGGGCCAATCGATATCGGATTGAGTCCAAAACTTGGGGAACAACATAATATGGTGGGAGGAGTCATTTGGTTGGTTTTGAGTGAAATCCAAATTCTAAAACTATGCAATACACCAACCACTCCATTTCAGAACGAACTTCCTACGAACCTGAATTGTCCGATTTCTTGGACCAATCGATATCGGATTAAGTCCAAAACTTGGAGAACAACATAATATGGTGGGAGGAGTCATTTGGTGGGTTTTGAGTGAAATCCAATGTCTAAAACTATGCAATACACCAACCACTCCATTTCAGAACGAACTTCCTACGAACCTGAATTGTCCGATTTCGTGGACCAATCGATATCGGATTGAGTCCAAAACTTGGGGAACATCATATTATGGTGAGAGGAGTCATTTGGTGGGTTTTGAGTGAAATCCAATCTAAAACTATGCAATACACCAACCACTCCATTCCCGAAGGATTGAGGGACTGTTTGTTGGAAGCTATGGGCTGCCCATGTGGTGGTTGAATGATCTCCACATTTTCTCCATCTTCTTGCTCTTCATTGGCATCTCCAACTTTGTTATCAACTTGTTTACCACTTCTCAAGATGTGTATTGCTTTAGCATGCTCTTGATGCCTTGGATTCACCTCAATTTGGCTTGGGAAAGTTTCGGATGCTCTATTGCTCCAGGAGGATGCAATCTGCCCAACTTGCACTTCTAGCTTGTTCACTGCATTTTGAAGAATTTGATTGGTTTGCATCTGTTGCCCCATGAACTTCTTGAACTTATCTTGCAATTCTCCCATTTGATCACCCCTTTGCTCTTGTAGTTGTTGGGGAGCTTGCTGGAATTGCCTCTGTTGTATTTGAAATCCTGGGGGAGGTCCTTGAGATTGTTGCACATTTGAATTGTTGCTCCACTTGAAATTAGGATGATTTCTCCACCCCGGATTGTACGTGTTTGAGTAAGGATCATTATTAGGATTCCTTGCTTGGAGGGCATTTGCTTGTTCTAGCATGTGCTCTGCAAAAGATTGATCTTGAACTTCCACTTTGTTTCCTAGAGGGCCAGTCACTGCCTGTTGAAGCAAAGAACACATAACATCAAGTTTTGCAGCAATCTCATTATTAGTACCTACCTCAGACACCACAGCTTTCATAGGAGCTCCTCTTCCTTTATTGTGGCTCCATTGTTGAGAGTTAGCACTCAAGGATTCAAAGAGAGTAAAAGCCTCATCTGCTGTTTTGTTCATCAGTCCTTCTCCACTTGTTGCATCTACCATCATCCTTTCGGAATCAAGCAAACCTTCATAGAAAGATTGCATTTGCATCCAACTCTCTATGTTGTGTTGTGGGCAAGAACTTATCATCTCCTTGTACCTCTCCCAACATTCATGAAAAGCTTCTCCTTCCTTTTGTGTGAAACCAAGGATTTCCTTTCTAATCTTGTTAGTCTTTTGAGCCGGAAAGAATTTCTGCAAAAACTTATTAGAAAGCTCTTCCCAAGTATGAATTGAAGCATTAGGCAAAGAGTATAACCAAGACTTAGCCTTATCTTTTAAACTGAATGAGAATAGCCTCATCTTAATCTGCTCATCAAGGCCATGAATTTTTATCGTAGCACATATTTCAAAGAATTGCTTAATATGCATGTTAGGATCCTCAGTGGTATTACCATAATAAGTTGGAAGAAGATGAATCATACAACTTTTAAGCTCAAACCTGTCAAATGTGAGTTGAGGATAGACGATGCACGAAGGTTGATCGGTGACTTTGGGAATGGAAAACTCACGCAGGGGTTTTCGAGGTTGGACAACAAGCGCACCACCTCCTTCAACATTATTGTTGTTGTTCGGAATCTTTGCCATCGTGCTTGAACCTTCAGATTCGGAACTTTTAGAATCAGCGCTTGAAGAACTATAATTCCTCAAACCAGCACGTATAGCAGCGGTTCTTGGTGAAAGTGGCTCAGGTGAACTTTGCTCCTGGTCAGATTCAGACATGCACACACCAAGGAACTCAATTTAGTGCTTTCAATGGAGATAACAACTAAATACAAAAACTGAATACTAAAAGAAAAACCAACGAAAAGAAACAAATGAAACAAACAAAAACAAAACAATCAAAGTAATCTAACTATAGCACCAACGTTACCGGTTCCCCGGCAACGGACCCAAAAACTTGTTGATTCAATTCCTAACAACTAAAATGAGTTATTAAAAACAGCAACTTTAATTCTCGCAAGTGCACGAACCGTTTATAGTATAGCTTATGTAAATACGAGGTCGATCCCACGGAGAATGGTAACTTGGTTCCAAGTTAAATTACTTAGAATGCTAGAAAAACATAGAACAAGGAAACTGACTAACTAGCTAAAGGCAAGGTCGAATTCAACAATGCCTCTTGCTAATTACTCAAGGTCTAGGACAGAATCCTAGCACCACACACGCACTCAAAATGGGGGGTTTTGTTGTTGAAATGAAAAGAAGAAAGTGAAATGAAAGTGCTCGAAAGTAAACACTGGACAGATTGTGAAACAATAATTGAGAGGTGTTAGAGCCTTGGAATCCACCACTAGTTTTCCTATCCAAGTTATGAATGCATAGAAATTGACTCAAGCTTCATCAACAACAGATTATCGCATACAAGCCTATGGTATCTAGGTGCAGGACGCATGATTCTCCTAAGGCATGTAATTGTGCATGGTATCTACACAACACGTGATCTCTAATATGCAACCTAAGCATGGTATCTACTTAGAATAAAGCATACAAGAGTCATTAAGCTCCTTGAGAATATGATAATCACACAAGTCCTAGAACATGGTATCTGTCCTAGTCAACCTATGGTTATTAACCCCTTGAATGATTCTTAGGCCATTCATGTGTTGCTTGTGAAAGGAGAGTAGAATTGGTGAATCTAAACCCCTTCCCAACCTGTGCTAGATGCATAAAATCCTAGTTAGCTACTCTAAGAAAAACATACATCAAGCACATAATAAACTGGAGATTAACAACTTGATAATGAAAGCAAGGAAATCAATTAACTATAAAATCATCCATAACATTGAATATTCATGACTAGGGCTTCATCCTAAGCCCTAACTAAATGGATTAGTTAGACATAACTATGAATACAGAAAATAAGAAATACATAGATAGGATAAAGAGAGGAGAAGAACTAGATGATGGCAGCAAAGGAATTCCCAGGACAGCTCCAAGCTCTCTTCTCTCTTTGTGGTGAATCTGAATTTGTGTATGAGAGTAATGGGTGAAGTGAAAATGTGTATCTGACTCTCTATATCCTTGAATGAGTGTGCAGCCCTCTATTTATAGAGTGCAATTTCGTCCTCCCCTTTGGCTGGTGAAGCACACCTCTCTTAGCTGCTCCCAACAACTCCAGCAGCCCATACTTGCCACCTGCTCCAGATGCCCATACTTGCCACCTGCTCCAGCTGCCAAATACATGCTTTGGTATGGTTTTTTAATGGAAAACTTGACTTTTGTTCATCCTTCTGAGTTTCTGAGCTGATTTGACTCCCATGTGTGGCTGCCCATACTTAGCACATGGCTCTAGGGATGTAGACACATTTAAATGTGATGGCAGCCAACATGACATTTCTGTGAACTTGGTTAAGTCTTTGACGTGCTGAGGGCTCCAGATTTATCCAATTGGGCTGAAATTTGGATATGTGATAATAGACACCCATTGGAACAACTTCTATCAAGAATGTCTCCTCATCCGACCCGTGTAAGTTGCTGAAATGAGGACTGCAAAATGATCCACGAAACTAGACTGACAAGGAGTGTGGCCCAAATTGGGTTTGTCTTTAAGCTCATATTTCTCTTATCCCAATCAGCCCTTAACAAGCATGGATTGCATCAAATGTGATCTCTTGCTATCTTAACCTACAAAACAAACAAAAAGAGGTAAGTGACTCAAAATAAAGAGAAATTAAGCATGTGAATGTATGAAATTACGAACATATCAAACATCATAATATGGTGAGAGGAGTCATTTGGTTGGTTTTGAGTGAAATCCAATGGCTAAAACTATGCAATACACCAACCACTCCATTTCAGAACGAACTGCTACGAACCTGAATTATCCGATTTCATGGACCAATCGATATCGGATTGAGTCCAAAACTTGGGGAACAACATAATATGGTGGGAGGAGTCATTTGGTTGGTTTGAGTGAAATCCAATGTTAAAACTATGCAATACACCAACCACTCCATTTCAGAACGAACTGCGTACGAACCTGAATAGTCCGATTTCATGGACCAATCGATATCGGATTGAGTCCAAAACTTGGGGAACAACATAATATGGTGGGAGGAGTCATTTGGTTGGTTTTGAGTGAAATCCAATGGCTAAAACAATGCAATACACCAACCACTCCATTTCAGAACGAACTTCCTACGAACCTGAATTGTCCGATTTCATGGACCAATCGATATCGGATTGAGTCCAAAACTTGGGGAACAACATAATATGGTGGGAGGAGTCATTTGGTTGGTTTTGAGTGAAATCCAATGGCTAAAACTATGCAATACACCAACCACTCCATTTCAGAACGAACTTCCTACGAACCTGAATTGTCCGATTTCATGGACCAATCGATATCGGATTGAGTCCAAAACTTGGGTAACATCATAATATGGTGGGAGGAGTCATTTGGTTGGTTTTGAGTGAAATCCAATCTCTAAACTATGCAATACACCAACCACTCCATTTCAGAACGAACTTCCCACGAACCCTGAATTGTCCGATTTCGTGGACCAATCGATATCGGATTGAGTCCAAAACTTGGGGAAACATCATAATATGGTGGGAGGAGTCATTTGGTTGGTTTTGAGTGAAATCCAATCTCTAAAACTATGCAATACACCAACCACTCCATTTTAGAACGAACTGCCTACGAACCTGAATTGTCCGATTTCGTGGACCAATCGATATCGGATTGAGTCCAAAACTTGGGGAAACATCATAATATGGTGGGAGGAGTCATTTGGTGGTTTTGAGTGAAATCCAATCTCTAAAACTATGCAATACACCAACCACTCCATTTCAGAACGAACTGCGTACGAACCTGAATTGTCCAATTTCATGGACCAATCGATATCGGATTGAGTCCAAAACTTGGGGAACATCATAATATGGTGGGAGGAGTCATTTGGTGGGTTTTGCGTGAAATCCAATGGCTAAAACTACAATACCCCAACCACTCCATTTTAGACCAAACTACGTACGAACTTGAATTGTCCGATTTCATGGACCAATCGATATCGGATTGAGTCCAAAACTTGGGGAACATCATAATATGGTGGGAGGAGTCATTTGGTTGGTTTTGAGTAAAATCCAATGGCTAAAACTTTGCAATACACCAACCACTCCTTTTTGGAAAGAACTTCCAACGAACCTGAATGTCCGTTTCGTGGACCAATCGATATCGGATTGAGTCCAAAACTTGGGGAACAACATAATATGGTGGGAGGAGTCATTTGGTGGGTTTTGAGTGAAATCCAATGGCTAAAACTATGCAATACACCAACCACTCCATTTCAGAACGAACTTCCCATGAATCTGAATTGTCCGATTTCATGGACAAATCGCTATCGAATTGAGTCCAAAACTTGGGGAACATCATAACATGGTGGGAGGAGTCATTTGGTGGGTTTTGAGGAAAACCAATGGCTAGAACTCTGAAATACACCAACCACTCCATTTCAGAACTAACTACGTATGAACCTGAATTGTCCGATTTCATGGACCAATAGATATCGGATTGAGTCCAAAACTTGGGAAACATCATAATATGGTGGGAGGATGTTGATTCTATTCTTAACAACTAAAATGAATTCAACAATGCCTCTTGCTAATTACTCAAGGTCTAGGACAGAATCCTAGCACCACACACGCACTCGAAATGGGGGGTTTTGTTGTTGAAAGGAAAAGAAGAACGCGAAATGAAAGTGCTCGAAAGTAAACACTGGCAGCAATCAACAAGTTGTGAAACAAAGATTGAGATGTGTTAGAGCCTTGGAATCTACCACTAGTCTTACTATCCAAGTTATGAATGCATAGAAATTGACTCAAGCTTCATCAACAATAGATGATCGCATACAAGCCTATGGTATTTAGGTGCAGGATGCATGATTCTCCTAAGGCATGTGATTATGCATGGTATCTACACAACACGTGATCTCTAATATGCAACCTAAGCATGGTACCTACTTAGAATAAAGCATACAAGAGTCATTAAGCCCTAACTAAACTGGAGATTAACAACTTGATAATGAAAGCAAGGAAATCAATTAACTATAAAATCATCCATAACATTGAATATTCATGACTAGGGCTTCATCCTAAGCCCTAACTAAATGGATTAGTTAGACATAACTATGAGTACAGAAAATAAGAAATACATAGATAGGATAAAGAGAGGAGAAGAACTAGATGATGGCAGCAAGGAATTCCCAGGACAGCTCCAAGCTCTCTTCTCTCTTTGTAGTGAATCTGAATGTGTGTATGAGAGTAATGGATGAAGTGAATGTGTGTGTCTGCCTCTCTCTCCCTTGAATGAGTGAGCAGCTCTCTATTTATAGATAGAAATTTCATCCTCCCCTTTGGCTGGTGAAGCACACCTCTCTTAGCTGCTCCCTTTTGCCCATACATGCCACTTGCTCCAGCTGCCCACACTTGCCAACTGCTCCAGCTGCCCATACTTGCCAACTGCTCCAGCTGCCCAATACATGCTTTGGTATGGTTTCTTGATGGAAAGCTTGACTTTTGTTCATCTTTATAAGTTCCTGAGCTGATTTGACTCCCATGTGTGGCTGCCCATACTTAGCACATGGCTCTAGGGATGTAGCCACATTAAATGTGATGGCAGCCAACATGACATTTCTGTGCACTTGGTTCAGTCTTTGAGGTGTTGAGGGCTCCAGATTTATCCAATTGGGCTAAAATTTGGATATGTTATAATAGACACCCATTGGAACAACTTCTATCAAGGATGTCTCCCCATCCGACCTGTGTAAGTTGCTGAAATGAGGACTGCAAGATGACCCACGAAACTGGGCTGACAAGGAGTGTGGCCCAAACTGGGTTTGTCTTTAAGCTCATATTCCTCTTATCCCAATTAGCCCTTATCAAGGATGGATTGCATCAAATGTGATCTCTTACTATCATAACCTACAAAACACACAAACATAGGTAAGAGACTCAAAATAAAGAGAAGCCAAACAAAATCACTAAGCAAAGAAGGCATGCAAATGTGTGAAATTATGACCTTATCAGAGGAGTCATTTGGACGATTTTGATCGAAACCCAATCTCTAGAATTATGGAATACACCATCCACTCCATTTCAGAACGAACTGCGTACGAACTTGAATTGTCCGATTTCATGGACCAATCGATATCGGATTGAGTCCAAAACTTGGGGAATAACATAATATGGTGGGAGGAGTCATTTGGTTGGTTTTGAGTGAAATCCAATGGCAAAAACTATGCAATACACCAACCACTCCATTTCAGAACGAACTTCCTACGAACCTGAATTGTCCGATTTCGTGGACCAATCGATATCGGATTGAGTCCAAAACTTGGGGAACATCACAATATGGTGGGAGGAGTCATTTGGTGGTTTTGAGTGAAATCCAATGGCTAAAACTATGCAATACACCAACCACTCCATTTCAGAACGAACTTCATACGAACCTGAATTGTCCGATTTCATGGACCAATCGATATCGGATTGAGTCCAAAACTTGGGGAACATCATAATATGGTGGGAGGAGTCATTTGGTTGGTTTTGAGTGAAATCCAATGGCTAAAACTCTGCAATACACCAACCACTCCATTTCAGAACGAACTGCGTACGAACCTGAATTGTCCGATTTCATGGACCAATCGATATCGGATTGAGTCCAAAACTTGGGGGAAATCATAATATGGTGGGAGGAGTCATTTGGTGGTTTTGAGTGAAATCCAATGGCTAAAAACTATGCAATACACCAACCACTCCATTTCAGAACGAACTTCGTACGAACCTGAATTGTCCGATTTCATGGACCAATCGATATCGGATTGAGTCCAAAACTTGGGGAACAACATAATATGGTGGGAGGAGTCATTTGGTGGGTTTTGAGTGAAATCCAATGGCTAAAACTATGCAATACACCAACCACTCCATTTCAGAAACGAACTTCGTACGAACCTGAATTGTCCAATTTCATGGACCAATCGATATCGGGATTGAGTCCAAAACTTGGGGAACATCATAATATGGTGGGAGGAGTCATTTGGTGGTTTTGAGTGAAATCCAATGGATAAAACTATGCAATACACCCAACCACTCCATTTCAGAACGAACTTCGTACGAACCTGAATTGTCCAATTTCATGGACCAATCGATATCGGATTGAGTCCAAAACTTGGGGAACATAATAATATGGTGGGAGGAGTCATTTGGTGGTTTTGAGTGAAATCCAATGGCTAAAACTATGCAATACACCAACCACTCCCATTTCAGAACGAACTTCTACGAACCTGAATTGTCCGATTTCATGGACCAATCGATATCGGATTGAGTCCAAAACTTGGGGAACATCATAATATGGTGGGAGGAGTCATTTGGTGGTTTTGAGTGAAATCCAATGTCTAAAACTATGCAATACACCAACCACTCCATTTTAGAACGAACTTCGTACGAACCTGAATTGTCCGATTTCATGGACCAATCGATATCGGATTGAGTCCAAAACTTGGGGAACATCATAATATGGTGGGAGGAGTCATTTGGTGGTTTTGAGTGAAATCCAATGGCTAAAACTATGCAATACACCAACCACTCCATTTCAGAACGAACTTCCTACGAACCTGAATTGTCCGATTTCGTGGACCAATCGATATCGGATTGAGTCCAAAACTTGGGGAACAACATAATATGGTGGGAGGAGTCATTTGGTTGGTTTTGAGTGAAATCCAAGGCTAAAACTATGCACAACCACTCCATTTCAGAACGAACTTCGTACGAACCTGAATTGTCCGATTTCATGGACCAATCGATATCGGATTGAGTCCAAAACTTGGGGAACATCATAATATGGTGGGAGGAGTCATTTGGTTGGTTTTGAGTGAAATCCAATGGCTAAAACTATGCAATACACCAACCACTCCATTTCAAAACGAACTTCGTACGAACCTGAATTGTCCGATTTCATGGACCAATCGATATCGGATTGAGTCCAAAACTTGGGGAACAACATAATATGGTGGGAGGAGTCATTTGGTTGGTTTTGAGTGAAATCCAATGGCTAAAACTATGCAATACACCAACCACTCCATTTCAGAACGAACTTCCCATGAACCTGAATTGTCCGATTTCATGGACCAAATCGATATCGGATTGAGTCCAAAACTTGGGGAACATCATAATATGGTGGGAGGAGTCATTTGGTGGTTTTGAGTGAAATCCAATGGCTAAAACTATGCAATACACCAACCACTCCATTTCAGAACGAACTTCGTACGAACCTGAATTGTCCCATTTCGTGGACCAATCGATATCGGATTGAGTCCAAAACTTGGGGAACATCATAATATGGTGGGAGGAGTCATTTGGTTGGTTTGAGTGAAATCCAATGGCTAAAACTATGCAATACACCAACCACTCCATTTCAGAACGAACTTCGTACGAACCTGAATTGTCCAATTTCATGGACCAATCGATATCGGATTGAGTCCAAAACTTGGGGAACATCATAATATGGTGGGAGGAGTCATTTGGTGGTTTTGAGTGAAATCCAATGGCTAAAACTATGCAATACACCAACCACTCCATTTCAAAACGAACTTCCTATGAACCTGAATTGTCCGATTTCGTGGAGCAATCGATATCGGATCGAGTCCAAAACTTGGGGAACATCATAATATGGTGGCACGAGTGATTTGGGTGGTTTTCAATGAAATCTAATGGCTAAAACTCTGTAATACACCAACCACTCCATTTCAGAACTAACTACATATGAACCTGAATTGTGCAATTTCATGGACCAATCGATGTCGGATTTAGTCCAAAACTTGGGTCTTACCTACAGCTGCCCTAGGGTATTGAATGCAAGAGGGACTGCAGTGTCCAATCTAGAGGCTGAAAGTTCCTTGATTGTTCAACTTTCTGTAGCCATGTCTTGTTCCTCTTCCAAGTCTGTTTCAGCTTCAGATTCAGGTTCGGAACTAGAACTAGAGGGATTGAGTTCTGGCTGCTTCCACTTCCTTCTTAAAGTTCGTTCGAAATCGTCGTCAAAGTCCAATATGTGCGCACGAACAGGGTGTGAACTTTGAGTCATAAAGTAGTACCTAAAACAAAGAAAACAAAGAAAACAAAACAAAACAAAATCAGAAACACAAGAAAAACGAAAACAAACGGAAGATTAGCAATTTTGCTAATCCCCGGCAACGACGCCAAAATTTGGCGTGAGAAATAACTAACGCACAAATTAAACCCTATAAATCATGCAATCGTAGTACGAGTAAGTAGGTATCGTTCTATTTCGGGGATTAGGAGGGATGCTAATCAACACAAATTAAACTTATTAAACTGGAAACTATGTTAAGGGAACAATGATTGGGGGGAATTCTGACGATTTAGACTAAAGTAAGACTGACAACAGCAAACAACTAAGTTGTGAATGAAATATGGATTAAGGGATAGCTAGAGGATTCTTCTCCACACATGGAACATATGCACACAAATCGATCTCCAGTTACTCTTTCTATAAAGTATGAATGACAAAGCCCCAAATTAATTGTGAATGCACTAATTAACTTTCAGATTTTCCTAAGTTCATTGAATTGGACTCAGCGACGCAATCAAATTATCCTTATCAAGTTCCCTATGTGATAGAGATACATATCAAAGATCATTAAGTACTATGAAAATCATAAGCCTTGACAAGGCATTTGTAACTATGAAAAGCATGATACTCCTGCCAGGAATTTACTTAACGCAATCATGACTAGTGACTTTTACTACTTGTGAATATAAGTTCATAACGATTAGGTGAAATTCCCTTATATTCTAGCATCAAATCCCTGCATGCAAACTAAGTATGCATCCTTAATAAACATACAAGAATAAGTTCTCAATAAAACAGAAAAGTAAATCACATGCATACTTTACGAAACCATAACTGGGAGTAATCAATTCATATAAAACATACATTTGAACTAATCAAGGGAAGAACTTTGAAAAACCCAATGGATGCAGCAGGTTCTGGCTCCAAGTTCTTCTTCTCCCTTTCTCCTTTCTTGCTACGGCACCAAAAGAACTCCCTTCTCCTGCTTATATATGTGGTAGATCTAGGGTAAAAGGGCCCAGTAGAAATCCACAAAATTAGGGTTTTGTTTGGCAGATTTCTTTAGGAATTATAGGGCCCAACAGAAACCCACAAAATTAGGGTTTTTAGGTTTCCTAATCTGAAATTAATCCCCCCCTTTTCCAGCTGGAATTTAGGTCGAATAGGATTAGGATAAGGTAAAATAAAATAAAATCAGTTAGGGTTTTTTACTTCCCAGAAGTTGATTCTAGAATTAATTTCCCCATCTTTTTAGCACATTCCTAGCCTCTTCGAACTTCAAAAACGTCCATCCATCTTGGCCCATGCATATGCTATCCATTCCAAGTCCAAAACTGCTCTAAAATGCTCCAAAACGCCCTTTCTTGCCAATCTTGCCATCTGGACCTACAATAGTACGAAAATAAGCTAAATCACTCTAATAAATGGGAATTAACTAAGTAAATGCAAAGAATAAGATAGCAAAGTCACATAATTATGCTCCTATCAGTCCAAACCTTGGGGAACAAGATAATATGGTGGGAGGAGTCATTTGGTTGGTTTTGAGTGAAATCCAATCTCTAAAACTATGGAATACTCCAACCACTCCATTTCAGAACGAACTGCGTAAGAACCTGAATTGTTGATTCCATGGACAAATTGATATCAGATTGAGTCCAAAACTTGGGAACTCCATAATATGGTGGGAGGAGTCATTTGGTGGGTTTTGAGTGAAAATTCAACGGCTAAAACTATGCAATACAACAACCACACCATTTCAGAACGAACTTCCTACGAACCTGAATTTCCGATTTCGTGGACCAATCGATATCGGATTGAGTCCAAAACATGGGGAACATCATAATATGGTGGGAGGGGAACCATTTGGTGGTTTTGAGTGAAATCCAATCTCTAGAACTATGAAATACACCAACCACTCCATTTCAGAACGAACTGTGTACGAACCTGAATTGTCCGATTTCATGGACCAATCGATATCGGATTGAGTCCAAAACTTGGGAAACATCATAATATGGTGGGAGGAGTCATTTGGTTGGTTTTGAGTGAAATCCATCTCTAGAACTATGGAATACACCAACCTCTCCATTTAGAACGAACTTGTACGAACCAGAATTGTCTGATTTCATGGACCAATCGATATCGGATTAACTCCAAAACTTGGGGAACATCATAATATGGTGGGAAGAGTCATTTGGTGGGTTTTGAGTGAAATCCAATGGCTAAAACTATGCAATACACCAACCACTCCATTTCAGAATGAACTTCCTACGAACCTGAATTGTCCGATTTCGTGGACCAATCGATATCGGATTGAGTCCAAAACATGGAGAACATCATAATATGGTGGGAGGGGAATCATTTGGTTGGTTTTGAGTGAAATCCAAATCTCTAGAACAATGGAATACACCAACCACTCCATTTCAGAACGAACTGCGTACGAACCTGAATTGTCCGATTTCATGGACCAATCGATATCGGATTGAGTCCAAAACTTGGGGAACATCATAATATGGTGGGAGGAGTCATTTGGTTGGGTTTGAGTGAAATCCAATCTCTAAAACTATGGAATACACCAACAACTCCATTTCAGAAAGAACTGCGTACGAACCTGAATTGTCCGATTTCATGGACCAATCGATATCGGATTGAGTCCAAAACTTGGGGAACACCATAATATGGTGGGAGGAGTCATTTGGTTGGTTTTGAGTGAAATCCAATCTTTAGAACTATGGAATACACCAACCACTCCATTTCAGAACGAACTGCGTACGAACCTGAATTGTCCGATTTCATGGACCAATCGATATCGGATTGAGTCCAAAACTTGGGGAACATCATAATATGGTGGGAGGAGTCATTTGGTGGGTTTTGAGTGAAATCCAATGGCTAAAACTATGCAATACACCAACCACTCCATTTCAGAACGAACTTCCTACGAACCTGAATAGTCCGATTTCATGGACCAATCGATATCGGATTGAGTCCAAAATTTGGGGAACAACATAATATGGTGGGAGGGGATCATTTGGTTGGTTTTGAGTGAAATCCAATCTCTAAAACAATGCAATACACCAACCACTCCATTTCAGAACGAACTGCGTACGAACCTGAATTGTCCGATTTCATGGACCAATCGATATCGGATTGAGTCCAAAACTTGGGGAACAACATAATATGGTGGGAGGAGTCATTTGGTTGGGTTTGAGTGAAATCCAATGCTAAAACTATGCAATACACCAACCACTCCATTTCAGAACGAACTGCGAACGAACCTGAATTGTCCGATTTCATGGACCAATCGATATCGGATTGAGTCCAAAACTTGGGGAACAACATAATATGGTGGGAGGAGTCATTTGGTTGGTTTTGAGTGAAATCCAATCTAAAACTAGGGAATACACCAACCACTCCATTTCAGAACGAACTCCGTACGAACCTGAATTGTCCGATTTCGTGGACCAATCGATATAGGATGAGTCCAAAACTTGGGGAACATCATCATATGTTGGGAGGGGAATCATTTGGTTGGTTTTGAGTGAAATCCAATCTCTAAAACTATGCAATACACCAACCACCCCATTTCAGAACGAACTGCGTACGAACCTGAATAGTCCGATTTCATGGACCAATCGATATCGGATTGAGTCCAAAACTTGGGGAACATCATAATATGGTGGGAGGAGTCATTTGGTGGGTTTGGAGTGAAATCCAATGGGCTAAAACTATGCAATACACCAACCACTCCATTTCAGAAAGAACTTCCTACGAACCTGAATCGTCCGATTTTGCAGACCAATCGATATCGGATTGAGTCCAAAACTTGGGGAACATCATAATATGGTGGGAGGAGGAATCATTTGGTTGGTTTTGAGTGAAATCCAATCTAAAACTATGGAATACACCAACCACTCCATTTCAGAACGAACTTCGTACGAACCTGAATTGTCCGATTTCATGGACCAATCGATATCGGATTGAGTCCAAAACACGGGGAACATCATAATATGGTGGGAGAAGTCATTTGGTTGGTTTTGAGTGAAAATCCAATATCTAAAACTATGGAATACACCAACCACTCCATTTCGAACGAACATCCTACGAACCTGAATTGTCCGATTTCGTGGACCAATCGATATTGGATTGAGTCCAAAACTTGGGAACATCATAATATGGTGGGAGGAGTCATTTGGTCGGTTTGAGTGAAATCCAATCTGCAAAACTATGGAATACACCAACCACTCTATTTAAGAACGAACTGCGTACGAACCTGAATTGTCGATTTCATGGGCCAATCGATATTGGATTGAGTCCAAAACTTGGGGAACATCATAATATGGTGGGAGGTGTCATTTGGTTGGTTTTGAGTGAAATCCATTCTCTAAAACTATGCAATACACCAACCACTCCATTTCAGAACGAACTTGTACGAACCTGAATTGTCCAATTTCATGGACCAATCGATATCGGATTGAGTCCAAAACTTGGG